ATTTGATCTACTTAGTATGAGATTCGATAGGCTTTTACAATATATTTTTCTGACGTATAGAGTGATATAACACAGGTTAAAATGTTTGATCAAGTTTTAAATTATTTCACAGTAAGGGCCCATGCACACCAAGCATTTTCAGGAACCGTTTACGCGCGTTCCGCGATCGTGCATTTGCTGCGCTGCTGAATTAGATTGCTTTACTGCATAGCATTGATTGCGATAACATCGCGTACACAGCACGTTCCATTTGCATGAAACGCGCGTCAACTGTTCGCGGTGAACATGGCCCTTAATGAACTTTAACCTTGTTATGGACCTCGTAACAAAATTGCATCACAAAATTGCTTAAAATTCGAATTTGGCGAAAAACGCCGATAGTTGCTGAAGATCCTTCAGAGTTTGGACTAACGCGCTGGCGTTACTTGAAATCAATTTAAGTTATGTTTTTTTTAAACAGGATTCATCAGCTGCCTACGATGGGCTTTGACAACCTGAACTCTTTGGAAACCCTTAACCTTCAGAACAACAAGCTGCAGCACATTCCAGAGGAAATTGTAGAGCCTATTTTGGATACTCTTCGGGTTGTCGATATAATGGGTGAGTATGATTTTGCTGAAACACGATTACTCAATTGATACCATGAAACTAATGTTAGGTAACTTTAATAAGGTATTTTAAAAAATTAATTTTATAAGTCTTACGTTTTCGTCATTAACTAGGTAAATTAATAATACTCGAATTTCCTAAAAATGATTTTCTTAAATTTTGTTTTCATGAATGTTATAATTTTACTCACGTTGAGTAAAATTATAGCTGTCATGAAAAGATAAAATGTACCTACTTGTACTTTTATTAATAACCGGCCTATTGTATTATTGAATGAAGGTAAAATTCAACAGTAGTGTGCCTTACTCGTCGTATTGGATTATAATTATATGTATTGTCTATTGAAATGCTTTGACCTTTGCGATAATATCTTCAAATAAGTAATATTGGGCAAACACATCACTGTTATTTTTATTGAATGCTTCGATAAGAAATAAGTAGTTGATATTTATTTATGTATTTGTTTAGATAACCCGTTGATTTGCGACTGCGAGCTGGCGTGGTACGAGGCCTGGCTCGCCGGTCTTAGGGACCGCGACGACGAAATGATGCAGAAGAAGCGAACCGTCTGCACCATGCTCAACGAACACAGAGAGTACAGCGTCGCCAAGATGCCTCTAGAAAAGATGAGCTGCAAGAGGAAACCCGCCTACGGACGACCCTCCTCTGCAACAACCAACACATGCCACGCCATCAGCATCGCAGCCAACGCACTTCTCGTTGCCCTTAACCGAAGACTCTAGAATAACCATTAATTTAACCCTTCTTTAGTCCTATTTCAGTTACGCGAAGACCAACATTCGGGCTAGCTGTGGCCGGATAGCCCGAACAGAAAGCCTTCGCCACGTAATTTCTGTTCAAACTTTGTAACGTAATGAATTTGTGCAATAAATACGATACATATCAATTTTGGGCTGATAAAACAAAATAGTTGTATATTGGAGCGGTAGCTTGATAAGGAGTGGTCTAAAGTCGAGTAAATTAGTGTGATACGGTATTTTTACATATTAGAAGACCTCTTACGGTATGCCTTACCTTAGAGTAATGTACCAAGAAGTAGGTGGACACGTTGATTACACCAATCGTTGATAAGTATCACTGGGGAAGTGTCTAAATTTTGTAATATAGAGCTTCGAGAAGCTAAATTAAATAACAGGAAAATAAATTCGTGTTATCACGAATAATTGGTCTTTTTTTAGCACAAACTTTTAGTTTGAAATTTACAACGCCCTTGATATTGAAATTTTAATATTTTTTATCATTTACCCCCGCCTTTACGATTGTAATATAGTAAGCTTTTATGCATTTACGATGTTGACTATTATAATATTATATCTATAATTCTAAGCATAAACGAGTATGAGGTGTTTTAAGCTATATTTATGTACAATTTACATCTATCTCCATCGTGTTAACACTGTTGTTAAGATTTTACTCTTCGTTATAATTTGTTATATACCTTCGTTTATTTTAAGATCTTGACGGTTTCATTTACTGACTCTACAGTGCTTCCGTATGCTCTACTCTATTTTATTTTTTACAGACTTCCACTTGAAGAGTAATAGGGAAAAATTGAGTAGCAGAATAAGTTTAGCGCCATTTTCTAAATTGCTTCACAAAAGTCGATATGCGTTATTCTAAATTAAATAGAAACTGCGATGATGTTCGATTCGATGTAGACTAGGTGTAGGTAGTTAAGTGTTAGGTAATTTTGTCGGATTAAATATGTTGATACGTTGTCACTAGTAAATTTCTTGATATACTCTAAGAGGTAATTTTGTGAGCCTCCTTGGTTCAGATTTGTTTAAACAAAGCGTTTATTCGTAAAGCTTTCATGAGCTATGTTATTTTTGCTTTACTAATTTTCTTTGATAGGTAATGTTTCGCAGTAATTAAATTGCTGTTAAAATTTATCGATATTAGGTAGTCGAGTAATAAATGTGACTTTAGACATCGTTTGCTAGCCTGATCATTTTGCAAGTTTAATTATAATCTATTTCAACGTCGCCAAAATAATAGGTACTCAATCAAATTTGACGCGACATAATATTCAACAACAAAATAATTGATAGAATACAAAGCTATCATTTGATGCATTAGGCAAGAACGTGTGAAAGTGATAAAATGTAACCAAAAACATATCCCTTAGCCTTTATGTGTAAGATGATAATATTTATGAATGTGCTAAAGAGAGAGATAATGGTAACCAACATTGAATTTTGGGGTAAAATAATCGATAATACTCAGGTATTTTCGATTAGAATTGAAGGAATTTGGAAGACCAATTATAATACTTTTTCTTTGTCCTCTTCCTTCTCTAGGGTCATCAAAGTGTGAATGAGAAATTTGAATGTATTTGAAGTATGAAAAAATGCTGTCGAATGTGTGTAGGACGCGAGATCGAATACTTTGTATTCAATTTACACATGTTTACACATTTTTTATACACTTCCATTTTTTCATGTTATCTTGATATTTTCACTTATCAGTACACAATTTACACGTTTCAGTAGAATATTGCACAATTATACACGTATAATTAATATATTACGCACATATATAATTATAATCATAATATTAAGAAGCAGAGTCGAAGTAACCTGATAATTAAGGAAATCTCATTATATACCGTCTTAACAAAAATTGTAGTGGAAATATTTTATTCTATATCATATTTTGGTGTTAAATGTCGTGTTACATATTTAATATGTGGAATATATTTACTGCTTCGTGTCTATTTAGATATAATCTGACGCAAGTTAAAATTAAGACTGTCGCATAGTTAGAAGAATTGGATAAACGTGTGTATCTTTTACATCATTATACAAGTTTCATAACATATTGTAATGTAATATTATACATTTATATTCCATTTTCGACATGGAAATAAAATGGGAACCAGCATGAAACATATCGGGTAGGTGGGGAGCTTACGATGAAGTTCCCACTGGCCAATATCTGCATATCAATATAGTAATAAGTCATTTTAACCTTTACCTATATATCTATAATTGTTGTGTGTTGTATAATATATTATTCACTGTTGTACTACTCATTGTTGTAGCATGAATGATATTGGCTTAAAACTGTTGTAGTATTCACTCTTGCTATAAGTATATCTCGTTATTTATTTTGTGTTTGTGACGTTATTATTTGTAATTATTAATGTGGTCTTCTTTGATCTTTCAATCAAGATTATGAGAATATGTAATAAGTAGATTTTATTACTAATGTTACGTTTTACCTATTCATCACAATAATTAATCGAAATTGTTAAAAATCAGACGTTTTGAATGGTCGTTTCGTGGTTTTTAAAGATCTAAGTATATACTCATAGATGGGTATGATTGTATTAGAAAAATGAGAGTTTGATGATGGAGATTGTATTTATATGATGCTCATAATACGTTTAAGATCCTGAATTAGACAATTGTAGAATCATGAGTATTTTAAATCGAATGGTAACGACAACGGCAGACCAAAGTGAAAATTTACAGTCAGTAATTTAGACAGTTCATTGGGAAAGTTAACACCACGAATCTAAGCTAAGTAATTTGTATATTCTTCTGTATTTGTCTGTTAACCCGAGTTTATAGTCACATTTATTATTTAAATAAATGTAATTGTAGGTAATCTAACTCTGTAATTGAGATTTTACCGTAAATGTGTATTTATTTAATTTCAGTTCAAATATAAAAATAAATATAACTCAAACTTGTGTTTTATTTGCTTACGTCACTCCTGAAAATAATATTGTAGTCTATTTATACGAGTAGGTACCTATGAAGAGACATAATGCTCATGCAGGCTATCTATCGGTAACCCTTGTGATTTTGTGTCATTTTTTGGAAGATTTGTAAAATATTTAAGCATTGTAGCCAGGTTAGTTAGGTATGGTGATAATACAAATAATATCAATGGTTTGCTTTTGGTTCAAAATCCTATCGTTTTTTTGTCCAAAAATGTTTGAATACCTTATACAAAAAAGTAAACAGAAAATTGGCCTACAAAGATTCAGGACTCAATTGCTTCAATAGTTTTGTTAAAAAACAACTAATGATATCGAAATATTAATACTTAATAGCCTCAAATTTGTTTAAAATTAACGTTACTTAATCAGTTTAAAAATAACCAACTGTACGGTAAACCTTATTAATTAGTTTGGAGCTAGTTAGTGTGGTAATCAATGAAAACCGCAGCATGTTAACCAGGTCGATAGTCCATTAGCGAGGGGCAGGTACAGCCGATTGCACGTCGAACAACCCCGGAAGTGCCGGCGAAATATTAAATGAAAGGCTAAAATGTACCTCATCATTTCACCCATAGGACGTCCACTGCTGAAAATAGGTCTCCCCCAATAATTTCCATGTTGATTGATTGGTAGCGGCCTGTGTCCACATTAATCACATTAATATTATAGCTGACACCCTGGATTAACACACAGGCTACATTTTACTGTGGGAAAACCGCGGGTAACCACGTGGGGGAAAGATTGGATTGTTTCTTTTGAATAGGCTCCAAAACTACTGGACCTATTTGAAAAATTATCTCATCATTAGAAACATAAGTACATTATCCTTGGTAAACATAGGCACAAAATAACATATCTTCAAAAAAGCTGGTACGAGGTTTGCCGGATCAGCTAGCGATTTTATACATATTATGATGTGGGCAGTTTAGTCCAGTAGAATTAGCTTTTAAATCGGAAATAATTCCTACAAAAGATTTAATTGTTTTAATGGCTTCATTGGTTGCCCATTAAGACTCTCCTAAGTTTTCGACTTCGACGGAGTTGTGCTTAAGTAGTGGGGGCCCCCGAAAGAGGCATTTTTCGGTTTTCCAGTTATACCGCGTAAAGGACTTACCCTATCAAAAAGTGGTCTTCATGACGGTTGAAGGGCACTTAATCTTGCATTGAATAAGACCAAATTCATATGTTTTGGACAAACCGTTCTCGCGCTAATGTTCGGCAAAGTAGAAAATATACGTATAATTAATGACCCTCTCCACGTCCAATGGCTTGTTACCCACAGGCTTCCAAGTCTTGAAAAGGGCCACCTCAACCAGTGTAACCCTATCAAGGCTTACGAGCTTGATGCGCCTATCCTTGTTCGTCCCAAGATTTAATCAATTTTTGTGTTTAATTCTACTGGCCTAAGTTACTCGTATTGTGGCTGGCAATCTAGATCTAAATATTAATATTCAGCCAATCCAAGCTTCTGAAAACATAATCTACAGCTTCGCTTTGTAATACTTGACTTGGATTACCCAAGACTGAAAACATAATCCACCCCTTATAATTCCTGAAATGTGTAATGACGTAAATGATTTTAAATTAAGTAGCATACTGCGTTACTTGCGTAAACACTAGGGCTGGGTTGCACCATTCTAATTTAACTTTGTCAAAGTCAAAAATCTGTCAAACTCCATATAAAAAGCACTGGTTATGTTATAGTTACCGTTAAAGTTGGTGCAACTCAGCATAGGCGTTGTTCGCGTTACAAGGACTCATTAAAACTTTTGTCCAATTAACATAATGCCACTTCACAGAAGGTCGCTAAATTAATGCCTAATTATGCGAAGGGCCACATGTTTGTTTCAGATGAGTGATATTTGTTTTGGGACTCGTACGGCGCGGTATTTGACATGACTTAACTGTGTGTAAATCAAAAGAAATTTTTTATGGGCACTTTTCTCTAAATTTTTTTTTTTTTTTATCCACAACGAGGAAGCTCTTGGCCTGTATCTCACCTGATGGTAAGTGACGATCAGGCCGAAGGTGGAAGCGAGCTTCACCCGGAATCCTCAACCACGGAGGAACTGGCTATCTTACCTCTAACTGCCGGAATATTTTTTGATGAATATATTTGAATGAATAATTTAATTATGTTTGCCTTCACAAGTCTAAGTCTCTACTTTAACTTTAACTATAACCTTAACTGGTGTCTTTGCATAGAATTTGACAGACTTTTGACTTTTGTTGTTACCGGAAAAAAATTTGAAAAATGTAAACTTACAGGCTCACGGACTCGATAAACCGTAGAGTAATTAGATACATTATGTACTTGAAAATTTCAAACACTAAAATAGAGTGAAATTAACGTTTCCAGATAGCGTCTACCTCATTACAGAATTCCCTCTATTAAATTATTAAAGCGAACCTCACAATATTACGGAAGTGGCTTTTCTTTGGTTTCGTGGCGGCAAACGAGACATTAAAAGTCGTTTAATTATTCGCGCCCCTTTAAAAGAAGCTATAAATATTAGCGTATCTGTGTTATGAAGGCTATAAAACTCCGCTATTACTCCGCGGTGACAGCTGATTTATCACATTTCCTCTGAAAGCTTAGCGGGCGTTTAGTTCTGCGATTGTGATCTTTACGCTTTAGCTCTGAATGTTCGCGTTTAACTAGAGTAGTTATCGAAATGGATCTACGAGTATAAAGCTTCTGCACAGGCATCAAAATCCAGTCTGTGGAAATGAGATCGCCTCATAAAGATAAATAATGTTGTAATGACAAACTTTGCTCCATATTAGAATTAGGCTACAAACATTGGGATAGCTCATTTATAAAATAGAGTCACAACTATTTTGAAATCACAAAGTTGAAGCTTCGTGCTATTCTTACCTGGGTTGGTATTTATATTTGACTGAAATGATAAGTATGCGATTACGTGTAGTGATTTAAGTAGGTAAACATTTTCTCAAAATGTTTATTACAGAAAGTCAAACAAATAGGTAAGTACCTACAATTTAAACTACTGTTTACTCGACTATTAGTGAGTTACTCGATTAATGTTGAAAGTCTTAATTTCCACCAAAATTTACTCCGAGACACCATAACCGAAACATAATTTATGACGTTCAAAATGGTTTCGCAGCTCGTTAAAATGTAACAGAGTTTTATTAAAACTATAAAACGGACGTTTCACCACGCTGGGGTGCGGCAAAAATTAATTCTGGTCGCCGGGAATTATTTATACTTTCCAACTGGGATTAGCAGGGTAGTGTTTTGTTGTTGTTTCTCGCATTCCATGGTGGTGTGCTTAATTTGCTTTTAATTGTTATGTAATAGTACTACTAGGACACAAGGTGGAACGACGACCTCATAAAGGTAGCAGAAAGGCGCTGGATGCAGGTCGCCACCAACCGGCCATTGTGGAAATAATTTGGGGGAAGCCTATGTTCAGCAGTGGACGTCCTATGGCTGAAATGATGATGATGATGATGATGATGATGAGTATCTATCATTATATTATTATACTATTAGAAGAGGGATGAGTTGTAAGGCAGATTTATAGTTATGAAACAGAGAGTTTAATGAATCACAATGCACAAGCATTAAATATTTTTAATGGACGACATATACCTAAATTTATATAATATTAAGACAGTTTTTAATGAGAATAATAAACCTAGAGTTAATACAGTATAAATCTAATCAATCACACACTTATCAATCGCTACAATTATTTTAACTTCATCAAAGTAATATATTTCGTAAACTCATATGTGTGTTTGCAGGCTGTTACATATGTGTAGATTTCAACAAACAAAACAGTTAGTTATTCGTGAAAAGTGGAAATTTCAACGCACACCCGGCCACCCGTGGTCTTAGGCCTGGGGACAGAGGAGTGGTTATCTACGAAAATAGTTTCACCATGTAGTTTTTTATGATGATATCTCATCTATGTCACGTAATATATTCCGTAATTAAGATAGGTATGTTGCGTTTTATGCCCGTTACATTTTTGTTTCACGGTAGTCGAAACGAACTATATAAATGCTGAAACTATTTTTATAACTATTTCTATGGGCGACGGTAATCACTTACCATCAGGTGATCCGTTTGCTCGTTTGCCTCCGATCACATAAAAAAAAAAAAAATGAAAAAGTTGTTCACGAAAACAGCTTTGACCCTAATTAATTGAATGGTATTGAGTGTTTGAAAGTAAAAAAGGGTCCGATGGAAGAAAAAATAACGTAAGATAAGTACTTTCTGAAGTAGGACTCAAAATTAAGCAGTCCGGATTTAAGTCTTATTTTCATTTGCTTTACTTTTAATTTAGCATTAAAAACGTTGTAACGTTCTTGTGTACAAGATACGAAAAAATAATTTACATTTGTGACGGACGTCATTTATTAATTGACACCTGAATTATTGAAAAATTACTATGCACATCTTTTCTGCAGATTTGCATGCACCTAGGTTATTAGTTCGAGAGCCCATAAAGCACGTTATCCCCCGGTCTACGCAGCGGTGATTGCAATATTCCCGGCATTTGCCATCACGCCCGCCCGCGCCGCGTTGATGAAAAATATGTGCCTCGTCGGTGTTGCTTTTTTGCAATTGCAGCTATAGTTCGGGGCGATGAGTTCATATTTATGCAGTTCAGCTCATCGCCTGAGAGCAGCTTTCATTTAGAAGAGCAGATGGGAGATATTGAGCCGTATTGGTTTCGCTATCTGCAACGTAAGCCGAATATTGGTTTGTGTACTGAAACGGCGTGGGTGGTA